CCCCAAAACCCCAAAACCCCAAAACCCCATAGGGACGATTCAGTATGTTATTAGTTTTATTAAAATTAGAATAAAATAAGATATTAAGATCATTTGTTTCATTTAATAAAAGTCGTTTTGATAAGGCTGATAATGGACAAGACAAGTTCCTTTACTTTTTCAAAATATGCCTTATTGATTCTACCCTGTCTTGCACTTCTAAGAATTAGAACAACCAATACTAGATAGACAAATCTCTTGAAGAATACACTCTAAGGAGCCGCAAGATACTTGCAGAGAGTCTTAATTAGTCTTTACTTATCAGGGGTGAATGGGGGGTAAAGTTGGTTGTAGGGATACATTGTCATTACTTACTTGTTGAACACTGACTTAGCGTTAGAGAATGCTTTGAATCCAGCAAATCCATGAGTTCTTCCATAGCCAGAGTAACCAACTCCACCAAATGGAAAATCTGGATTAGCAACTTAGAATAAAACTTCATTTGAGACTAGAGCTCCACTTGAAGTCTCCTTTTCAAGTCTTTTGTAATTAGCAGAAGAAGCACTGCCGAAATAATAGAGTGCCAATGGTTTCTCTCCTTCATTGATCATTTTAATTACCTCGTCAAAGTTCGAATAAGTGTAAACTGGAAGAATTGGCCCAAATATTTCGTCCTTCATTACTGGAGATTCTCTGTCAGGACTCAAGATAACTGTTGGTTGCAAATTTCTATCCTCGTGAGCGTTTGAATTACCTATGGAAACATTTCCTCCGTGATTTCTAAGTAATTCGCAAAGTCTATTGTGATGGAAGTCGTTGATTACCTTCCCCATATCTTTAATATTTTTTCCTTCCTCCCACATGCTTGCTACCTCCTTTTTAAGTTTGGTGTTGAAGGCTTCAATCTTAGAAACATGAACTAATGCGTAATCTGGGGCAATGCATGTTTGGCCAAAGTTTACAAATCTACCAAAGCATATCTTTTTAACTGTATAATCAATATCACAACCCTGATCAACGATACAAGGACTTTTTCCTCCTAATTCAAGAATGCAAGGAATCAAATTCTTTGCAGCTGAGGCAGCCACTAGCTTACCCTTCTCAGAACTGCCAGTATAACAAATCAAGTCAAATTTTTTAGAGGTTAATGCAATTGCGACCTAAACTTGACCCTCCACTGGAGCATAAGCATTGGTGTCTAAATATCTGAATATAAGCTTCTTAATAATATTAGATGAGAATGGAGCAAGCTCAGATGGTTTTATGACAGCCACATTACCAGCTGCAATAGCACTAATAAGAGGTCCAATAGTGGTGAATAGAGGGAAGTTCCAAGATCCCACAATTAGTACACAGCCTAATGGTTCGTAAACAATTCTAGTACTTGCTGGTCCTAAAGACATTGGAGTATCAAGACTCTCATCTCTCATCCACTTTTTAAGATGCTAAATGGTATGATCGATCTCTCCAAGCATAATGACTAATTCACCGAACCAGGTCATGAATGCTTCTCTGCCCAAATCTTTTCTTACTGCTTCGCTGATATCTTTTTCTAAAGCAATAAACCCATCTTTCAGGTTTTTCAATTATTTAATTCTGAAGGCAAGGGGTCTTGTTATGTTAGAATCAAAAGTCTTTCTAACTTTTTTGATAGCTGGATCAATGACACCTACGTCATCCTTGATGACTGGTTGCGCTTAACTCATTTTATTAATATCTAGATATTATATATTCATTCAATTCCACATTATAAGGAATGACGGGGTTTTGGGGTTTTGGGGTTTTGGGGTTTTGGGGTTTTGGGG